AATTACATGAACCGAAGAAAACGCTGTCAGGACGTGATGTATACCTACGATTGTATTGTGTGTATGAGCGCACGCGCGCGCACGCAGGTGTGTGTTTAAGAGTCGGAAGGAGAGAAGGAAAGGGAGAGAGACGGAATACGAGGAGAAAAAACGTACGTGCATACCGATTGTAATTCAATTTAACAAACGCCAGCTCGCCAGCGCGCTTCTCAATAGTCATTCTATTGCGCACACGGTCATTCCATGACCACGAGAATACAAATCACTAAGTGAGACGACGACGCATGTCGACTGAAACAGTCATCGGTTTCCGCTATCTACGAGATATCGTTCGGAGTGCAATAACACCGTTCATACACGGTAATCGGAAGGTAAAAGTTTGAAGAGAACTGCAAAAACCGATTTATTATGATGTGTGACATGCCCTGCAGTCACCTCGCTGCTTTAATTACCGATTCTTATGGTTGATTAGTAGTGAACGGTGTCACTCCGTTATTAGCCATATTGTCCAGAACACCACTGATGTACGCCGCGACATCGATCGTCGCTTCCTCGGCTTGTCTGATGAACGGATGTTCCAGCAGTTTATTGTACTTCGGTCGCTGCGTCTCCTCTTTAATTAAGCTTAACAGATAATACAAACGATTGTCATACCAAAAGGAACGTGTAGCTATACCGGCAGAAAAATATCATGTTATTCTACCATGTATTCACAAAGTTCACAAAATCCATAGTGAAGTGATTGCCATTCTCATTTGGGGAAAGTCGCGGCGGATCACCTTGCACTACTTGATACAGTTGTTCAAAGACAGAGTTCCACTTTGGATATGGGAAGTATCCTGTAGCAACCTCCATCAGCGTAATACCTAATGACCATACGTCGCTCCGTACGTCGTAGCCACGTGCGCGTTGAGGGTCTATCCTTTCCGGCTAAATAATTATAACATTTATGAAACATGAGGAATTTAACACAAGCTATTCGTTTTAGGATTATTAATTACATACGCTGTAAAACTTACAGCCATGTATGGTCTACAACCAGCATCACGAGTCCTTGCAATCGAGTCCACAAGCTGGCCAGATATACCAAAGTCGCACAATTTTATGTTACCTCGACGATCCAATAAAATATTACTAGGTTTCACATCCCTGTGAATTATTCTTAGTTTCTCTTTGAGGTAATTCAGTGCCTTTACAGTGGCAACTGTGATTTTGCCTAGAATACATTCTGGTATCCTCTCGTTTAATCTCTCATAGATGAACTTGTAAAACTTATCTAACGATGTATCCATAAGTTCCATGCAAATCCAACAATCTCCCTGTATATGAAAGAACAAAATACTCTAATAATTATCTTGGTCATTAATGTGCGGTATCATCAAACTATATATACCTCTTTAAATAAAGCGCCATAAAATTGCACAATACACGGGCATTCATTCGATTTCATCACAACTTCCAAATCCATTAACAATTGCTTTTGTTCTCTTTCGTCCACGGTAGAACGAATTCTCTAAAATATAATTCAAATAATTTACAAATTCTAAAAAGAATTTATTAGGTGTGTGCAAAAGTTTTTTGTCACTTTTATGCAATGATAGCCATAAAAATATATGTTCTTACTTTCTATGACTTTTTGCCATCTCTCAGAGTTTAGATTTTTCTGCGAAAAAAAGACATTGATTTGGAAGTAATAATATCATTGATTTATCTTCTTATTCTAGCTACATCTCAAAAATGTTATTCAACTAAAAAATATATATCGATCGGAATAAGTGGTAATCAAGTCGAATAAATATGCTACACGCAAGAGAATTTCCCAGCCTAAGTTAAAGATGATTTGCTGAGTACAAAAAGTATGTGGCCTAGACTCATTGTGCAGCAAAATGACCTTCTAGTTTCCTTATCCATGTTATGTATAAATAGCTTTTTCTATTCGATTTTATCAATTAAATAATTCAAGTAACAATTATAGTATTTGGCAATAATTGTTTCATCTGGTTTGAGCTTATAAAACAGCATACTTTCAATATCCTACCAGATGCAAAAAAGACATACATGGATGTTTATGTTTGCTGTTATATTCATTAAATCATGATATATGATGTTTCACAAACTTCAGTGCCAACTTTTCAAAAATGCAAAAAAAGAAACAAAAATTTACTTGAATATTAAATAATTATACCAGGAGGCTATAAAATACTGAAACTTTTGCACACACCTAATCATTGTAATTAAAATTGTAATTTAAAGCCAGAAGCACATAGAAAAACATAAGGAAACAGTTCACTTGCATATCGTTGCAATTATCCACTGTCAATCACAGCGACTTTCCTAGGAATCTTTTTTTATTTTTTCTAATGCTGTGATTAGTTGGTGTCCAGTTGCAACATGCACAACTAATATATATCAAAAGCAGTAAGCAATAAGCAAATTGACTAATCACAATAAAGAATATAACGCATTAATCTTATGTTCTCCGTAATTAGCCAATTTGCTTACTGCCTATGCCTTACTTTCTTACGTTTCTCTGTTTCTGGCTTAAATAAAATTGGAAGGAATGAGAATTTTAATTACTTACCTTCACAGCCATAACGGTATTGCTTATCCTATGAATCATTTTATTTACAGTTCCAAATCCTCCTCTTCCTATTTCTCCAAGATCCTGAAGGTCCTCGCTTGTGAAATCATACACTACGTCTGAAGATAATTGCAATTTACCAGTAGTCTGCATAGACTGGCACATTCGTAGTTTGTCTCTACAATAAGCTCCGTTGTAATTTATTTCAAGTGATATGCCTTCTTTTTGTTTCTAATTCCATACCTTGCCTTATCAGGAAGAAATTCTTGCTGCTGTAACATATTGCGAGATCTTACTGGCAGCTTAGGTAGAGATAAAGGCAGACTTGGGCGAGAGGATCTATCATCACGAATGGAAAAGTCAGTCATATTATGTAGAAAGGACAAACACCTATGGAATTATTTTGCTTGCTAAAATCTCACATTGGTGGGCACGCCATGGCTCCTGTTGAATTTGACAATAAAGAATTTGTAGAATTGGCAAATGACAAATTATTGCCTTGCGTTTGGAAACTAAGTTTCAGCTGTCTTCGTCTCTCTGCAACAGAACGCAGGATAGTGAAGAAATCATCCTAACATTTCAATTTCTCTCTCTCTCTCTCTCTCTCTCTCTCTCTCTCTCTCTTTCTTTTTCTCAAAAAGATCGCATAATGTCGAACGTACCCGACATTTCATTTTGAACGTCATTATTTGTTCGAAAATCCATTCGCGGAAAATTAAAAGATCTGCCAGAACCTGCAATGTTAGGATTCTATTAGAAAGTAACAAAGGAAACTTTGAGACCGAGAATCATGCGTCGTTCGACGAAATCGTGGTCCTCGCTTATCCACAGGAGTCGGGACTCGTGTCACCGCGGAGATAAGATTAGGTTAAGTTGTCCACATGAAAAACGGCATCGTGTGTGCGAGAGCGACAACATACCTTGACCGGTCTGACTGGATAAGTTGCTCTGATTCTCCGCCATTCTGGCAAGAATCACCCTCGAACCTCGCGTTTCGCGCCCGCACGGAATCGTCAAAGGCGCTTCTTTTAGGAGACCTTCTCGCAGGATCTCAACAGTCTGGCGTATACATTATGCAGCAGTCGCACCATTTGTATTGTCGCGCGATCCGAAAGGTGAGATCCCGTTGTCCGCTTTCAAGTTCCGAGACGATAACCAACGATAACTACCGATTCACAAGTCACCGAACTTATGAATCCTCACGAAATCTCACTCACTCCTCGACAGTTATCACGAGTCACGAGCATTCGACCGCTTAAGGTGCTTTTCCATGGACGTCAATTGACGCTCGAAAACAGGTTCGGGTAAGGTTAGATTAGTATAATAAGCAAGCAGAACAAAAAGTCATAACGAAGTCGAAATGACGTCAAAATGACTTCAAAATGATTATTAAAAGTCATTTTTCGATCATGATAAAAAAATGATCAAATTATGATTTCAAAATTTTAGACGTTGTTTGAAGCATTTTACAATTGTGAAACTACCATTACCGTAACGGGTAACGCATGCATGGAATCACAATTTTTACATCCGAACTGCAGTTTGAAAAAATCATCGATATAATGATGCACCTATATCCCGGTAATTATAGTTTTGTCCAAAGTATATTTAAAAAAAAATCAAAGATAATACCACAAACAGAATTGAAATAAAAAAAATATTTTTATTTAAAAAAGTTCCCCAGAACACAATTTAATCTCCGAAAGGTATCTTGAAAACTTCTGATTGACGTCCTTAATGGTGATATAGCATCTTTTGGAGAACATCCTTTAGGACTGTGTTTATTATATTTATTATATAGGATAATTTCTCACAATTATTATAGAATACGGAAGCATTTAAAGTGTATAAAATATAACAACACATTAAAATGAGAGGCCCAGAAATTGAAAAAGGATTTTTACATTGCTAACAAATAGCAAATTGTAGAGACAAAAAATAGAAAATGAGCAAGATCTCCAGCAACAGCATAATTGACGCAGCCATTTGATGCATAAGAAAATGAACCAATTAAAGTATTTTATTTCCTTTCTTTCCATAAAATAGAGGGCTTTGATTGGTTCATTTTCTTAGGCCTCATGCGTTGTAAGAGTCTGTGCTCTAGGCAGCAACACAGAATTTTGCACGACGCATGACACATAGTGCATAAGCGAATCAACCAATCAGAATCTTTCCTTTCCTCCTATTTTACGAAAAAGGAGAATGTTGATTAATTGATTCTTTTATGCGTTATGCAAAAGTCTGTGCTGTGGCTAAAAGAAATTTCGAGAAAACGGACGCACAGAGAAGTAATTAGCAGGGTGTAGAAACCACAGAGAGGACATGAGGGTCTTTTTCCTGTAACCGCAAAAATGCCCCAGCGCACTACTGCCCTCTGAAAGTTTCTCTCTGGTACCACATTGTACTAGTATCATGGTGGAAAAATAAAAAAACAGATCTCAGACCTCATGCTACAAACAGTCTCTATTAGGAGAATGGTTAATTTACGTTTATTTGTTACATTGTCTACAAAATTATTAAACAATTATGGATTGGCAAGGTGACAAAATAAATAATTTTTATAAATAGACTATGATCTCTCTTTTTGACAATTATTTTAATCGTTCTGTTGTATACTTATAATTTTCATACATTTATAGAAGTATAAATAATTTTAGATATTACTTCACAAGTCTTAAAAGAGGATATAGCGTTTTTCCCACTAATTTTATTAAACCGGTATATAGTAAAGAAGAACAAGAAATTTTATTTCAAAGCGATGAAGCAAAGAAGATTGTACATAAGCAAATGAAACCAGCATTAGCCACTGATACATGCTCCGAATTTTATGATACAAGAGTGTTGTGAGAAACTTCTAATTTTAGTTTTTTCTCAATGCAATTTTTTTGTGTCACTTTGTAACTTATCCTTCAATCGTGTTTAGAAAATTTATTAATACCCTTATGAAGAATGGAAATAGGAAATTAGCGACAACGTTGGTAACAAAAACTTTCGAAGGTGTCAAAAGAATACAGCTAGAGCGTTATCACAAAGAAACGACGAGTGAAGCAAAAGCTGAAATTGAATTGGATCCATTTGTCATTTTCCACCGTGCTGTCGATAATTGTATACCAATTTTACAATTAACAGCTTGTAGAAAAGGAGGAATTACATATCAGGTAATATACTAGAAATTAAAATTGGAGCATCAAGAAAGAAATATTATTTTGAGATAAAAATCTATAGGTATGTTAGAGATATAAACAAATGATTAAAGTTTTAAAAGATTTATTGCACAAATTTTTATCTCTATTCCAAGCTCGTTCTATATGCTCACAAAGCTATGAGACTGAAAGTATAAGTACTATCTTCAAAACTGTGGATGATACCACATATTGTATCCTTCACAAGTTAAGGGTTAATATTAAACATGGATTTTTGAAACTTTAATCACATTTATATAGTTCCCATAAGAAATAAAAGTTTCGTTCTAATTAAATCTCTACTTTTAGTAGTAATATCAATTTTTAGCAGTGTATATTGTTAAATATATTAATTATGTAACAACTGACGAGGTAAAATCGATCTTTTAGGTTCCTATTCCAATTACACCTCTAAAGGCACAGCATAAATCCATGTTATGGTTAATTCAAGCTGCAAACGAAAAAGAATCCAAGTTGAGATTTTATGATGTATTAGCCAAGGAATTAGTAGCAGCTTCTCAGAATCAGGTGCACAATTTACATATTAATAAAAATATAAAATAATTTCTACATGTGATGCATATAATATGCTATATGTGTACTATAGGGTATATATTAAGTACGCTAAAAAATTTCAAGCGTTGATTCTTCATAAAAATTTAAAACCAAAACTTCATACGTCTGAAACAATTTAGTTTCAAAGGTACAGAGTGTCAAAGTTGAAAAAAATTTCGAAAACCATTCAGATTATTTTTATGAAACTTTGTATATGTTTGAAAGTTATTTCCGATATATGATCAAGTTTTCTTGAATTTGTATGAGGAATTATCCCTTACAATTTTTTAATATACACCCTGTACAAGACATTACAATGACACCTATTGTCTCAGGGTCGTGCGGTTAAATGGAAGCAAGAATTACACAAGAAATGCCAAGCTAATCGGGCTTATGCGCACTTCAGATGGATGTAGATAATAATAAAATTTAATTACTCGCATTAGTATACATTAAGGTACGAACACAATGAAAAAAACAAGAAACAAGGAATAACAGATTTTAACCTGTCAGAGATCTATTCTGGTTAAAATTTGTTATCGTTTGCTCCTTATGCCTTTTATTGTTTCCGAGCATCAAATACAGCAAGATAATATATGGTCAATTTTACCATTTACGATTAGTTTGATTAATTAAAAGTATGACTAAATTAGGCTAGTTTGATTAATCTATTAAGTGTCAACTGTGACTTGTTAATTCTATTTAACAAGAAACGTTCAAACTGATTAGAGATGGTGAAACCAGCCCATAATCAACTTTCAACGACGAAATAATATATTTTGTTAAATAAGTGACAATATTACTGAGCATTCAGTTGTATTTAGCTTTACATTTAATTTCATTAATTTCATATATAGCAACTTTTAGTACTCAATCTAGAGTAATCAAAGTAATTGAATTTGCTATAAAATAGGTTCTATATGTATGAATAAATTAATTTTGAAATATAATAATGCTAGAAATACTTTATACAAATTTAATAAAATTATTAAGCCATTCCCAGAATACATCTAAATTTGTCAACATCGATTATTTGTCCAAATTTCATATTTATTTTTAAGTTCTTTGTTCGTGAAGTCAACATTATCTTTTTGTATAAAGAATCAGTGATACTGATTGGGTTATCCGACATGGGATAAATTTCATTGAAAGAAACTTTTAAGTCTATCCTCTTTCCCCAATAGTCAATATAAGATAATATCACTTTTTTTTCATCTAGTTTCAAGTATACATATCCTATGAGATTGTTGCATAAAATTCCAAGAACATGCAGCCATATTGTTGTTAGAACTCCTGTGGATAAAAAGAAAAAATATGTATTTATATAAATCAATTTTACCTGAGAGAAATTTAAAATATGTTTATATTTTACACACACCAATTGCTATTGATACACTAATTACGTCATAGGACAAGATGCTGGTCAAATGAAGTCCAATGATCGCTGGTGTGGCTACTCCAACAAATATAGTAAATCGGTATTTTATAACATTTAGACTACAAGCTTGTTTGGCAAAAGGAAGCATATAGATCACTTCATAATCGGGGAATTTTGTGGAAACAATTTCCACTTTTTGCTTTTCCTCATTTTTATTCGCAACATGACTCAATGTTTTAATGTTCGAATATCTAACGCTGTTTGAAGCACGATATAAAAATCGTTCGCAAAGATTCGACAAGAGTCGGGAATACATTTACGTATACACGTAATGTATACTATAGTATTTCCCTAGTTTTCGTTTAAATTTCTTTTCAAGAATTTCAAGAACAGAGAAGAGGTTAGATATCAGGCTGGTCTCATCTCAACTTCGACCGCTTCGACGGCCGATTAAATATTGCCAACTGCAAGACTTGAAAACATTTTCTGGCGGGGCGCCGAATATTCGCATATTCGACTCGTATGGCTTTTTCATGATTGAGAAATTTGTAATTAATAAGAACCTGTGCTCTTATTATCACATTGTTCTTCACAGCCGCCAGAAAATTAGGTTATGTTTTCAATCTTGCAGTCACTTATGCAGTTGGCATTGCTAAAAATGAATTTTATTAAAATATTAAAAAATGAAAAGATTGAAGAACAACTTATTGAAATCGATCCTACTTAAGTGAAAATAATGCTAGGTAAAATATATAATTGAAAAGTTGTCAAATTTACTAATTCGTATTTGCAATCAAATTAACCTAAAAATACATATCTTTTGAGTGTATCGAAAATAATTCAAATTTGGTTAAAAATCTTCTCTTTATTTCTTTTCTGGAGCCTGGATGGATTGGGATGGATTTTTCCGACCCATTATATATGATCCAATGGTCGCGTTCAGTAAAACTTGAAAGTAAAACTCAGTTTCACACATAATAAATAATCATTCATAGTAAATAATTACTTATCTATTACATTTTTTACCATTATTTATTATTCTTAACGTGACTTTGACAATAACATATGTTAAGCTAAAGGTCATGAGAGAAATCTTCCCCAATCAGCATATTTATTTAAACAAAATTGCATATTTGATTTAATTTTTATATTTATTTTAATCTTACAGTATCCAATCAATCTTAAAGATTTTTGTCGCGTCTCACAAGATACATTCTTGAATTCATCTTGTATACTTCGATTCTGTATGATTTTGACAACTACCATATAACTGTTTGTTACACATCCATAGATAGTGAATTGTATTCTGAAAATTTTTACACATTCTGAAAACCATCAAAAAAAATGTTGCAATCTTTATTCTGTAACACACAAATGTATATTAACATGTCTCAATAATGATTGCATGTACATACGTACACTTTTTCTTTCAATACCGTAAGTGACTTTTAGCCAGTTTTTCATAGTCTCTTGGCTCATTGTGCATTACTAAAAAAAAGGGGGGGGGGGATAGCTTTCTAATATAATCCCCCCCTCTCTCTCTTTCTCAGTACAAACTTTTGTACGAGGTTTATATATGGAAAAGGAGCATTTACCATAAATATATAAAGTCAGTTGAATTAAATCAATACATACATTACTATGTAATATCTTAAATTTTTATTCGCACAGAGAACATTGTTTTCTATATTTTAAATGAGCTATATTTACTTAAACAACATAATTATTAGCTTTTGTCAGAAAATATAGCAACTGTAGAATAATAATCACATATATCATTCAATTGTTACATAATGGAGAGCAAAATCTTTATTCTGCTCGAGTGTAATAGTGATTGAACTGCATTTGCATTAAGTTTCTCTACTTTAACAGCCGATTATCTGATCAATTGCTAGAAGAAAAAGCTAGTTTTGTAAACGAAAAAACTTGGTACAAGATACAATTTTACTATTACATCATAGCTGGAACATTTTTGCTCTCCATACTATACTCGTTAATTGCGAGGCTATTACATTCGATTATTCTAATATATACTGATTAATCTTGAGAATTCAAGTTAAAAATACTCAGCGAATGTATATATGTAACATATATACAGGATATTCCACTAGTAACTTTAATCTTTAAAAATATTTTCATTGAATACAGATGACCATCATTGAATACAGATTAATATTAAACTAAGAATCTTATAGGATTAATAATTAATGATAAATATTTAATAAATTCTATGAATTTTTTTTCAATAAAAAATATGGAATGATAAATGAAAATATCAAATATTTTTTTAGTCGATATATATACAGCTGAAATTTTGACTTAAACATCTCTAATGACAATTCACTTGGAATTAAATGAAAATAAAAACTATCCTACTTTTCTAATCTCTCAGAAAAACATTCATTTTGAATCGCTTATAATTTAAAAGCTATTGATATTTTTGTATTAAAATTTAATATTAGATTTTAATTTACTTAAAAAAACTATTATTTAACAATTTGTTCTATAAAAGTGGGATATCTTGTATAATTAAATGACACGCCAGACATATACATTCTTTCGAGTTGTGTGGAATCACACACGTGACTGCATTGATCACAAGAATTTATTTTATTATGAGCAATCATTTCTCTAAATATAAATTATTATAAATCATTTATCAAGTAAAAGTCAAACGACATAACATCTTACATCTTTTTCTTAAATAAGTTAAGTAACATACAGGAATGTGTGGGACAAGTGGAAAACAACTTGTAATATAAATTTAAATATTTAGGATACAAAAGAAATGTATACAAAAAAATTTATATAATATCAGTATGTATATGAATAAAAATTTACTAATGCAGAATGACTGCGATGATAAACAAATACTTTTGGCACTTTTAATCTAACATCAGTAATTCAGAAAACATTTGTATGTAGAATAATACCAAATTGATATTCATGTGACTAACAAATAAATTTATCCAAGTACAACTTCCGTGTTCTTCTAAATTTGGTATAAATGTCTAAGAACTATGAAAAACAAAGCTAATAAGAAAATGAAAATTAAAAGAGTAGTAACCCTTAAAACCACTTATGGGCCAAAAGGAAAAGACATGGATAAAATATTGCTCACAGTTCTATTTATACTAATTTGAAAGAAATCGGAAAGTTATACTTAGGTTTACTTGTAAGTGTCCTAAATGCCTTGCTCATAATTTCTAACATTTGTATAGTTTAAAATCATACTTACAAAATATGTATTTTCAATTGTTTAAATAAACTATTAGAAATGTGGTAGGGTTGGAAAGAATATATGCATATATACAAGATATGTCACACAGTCATAATTCATATAAATATCTAAGAATTCTTGCAATCTATTTTTTCAGAGAAACTTAATCGCTTTCAGTCGACTTTAACTTAATATTAAGAAAAAAAAGATGAAAAAGCTTCTCTCTTTTATTAAAATTTAATACAACAAAAATGACATAACCAGTAAGTATGGAATATATTCATGATTGTACAAAATTTGTTGAAAACATGCCAATAATAAAGATTATTAGATCCCTCTGCCATATCGCACGATAAGATAAATTTATCAATATACACATACATGTGGCTTTTTTCAGTATTAACACATTATATTTTAACATCAAAAAATAAAATGATAGTAAAGAAAAATGAAATAGAATATTTCAGATTCTTAGATTACAATTAGTGAAAATAAACATTGAAGTACGTATATTCATGGCTTTATCAATTTGTTATACAATTAATTTTATAGTGCCGTAATAAAAATTATAATATCGCATAAATATATGTATACAAATAGTATTATTTCGAAATATAATTAAATTTCATGCATGTATAGTTTATTTGGCAGAGGAGAAACTTATCTATATTATACATAAAAAAATATATCAAACTAATGACTTTCTCGCTTCTAACATGACATTCTGAAAACAATGCGTTTTACAATTCAAATGCGAAATTATCGCGGAAGTATTATTTAGTTTCTCTTTTCGAACTTACTTAACTAATTGCTTGCAAAATAAAATTTTAATATTATGTACTTCAAAACATGTTACATCATCTATAATTTTCTATTGTTACATTTGTTAACGTTTCATGACATATAATGGACAAATGGGCCTACGAAAGCTAGACCCATAGAACAACATCATTTTCTATGACAGTCTTTGACTTTGGCATTATTAAAATGAATAACACAAATTCTTTTCTATATGTCTTCAAAATATGTCCCACTCCATTTTACATACACATTTCATACAAACATAGGATATAACAAACGCATACAACTCTTACGAATGTATCTCAAGCATAAAATAAAAACAGATTAAAATAATAAAATTCCATGTAATGTTAAAGTTTGAGAAATTTTTTCCTTTCTCAGATCATAACACATTTGAATTTACATATCTATAATACGATTTGTATTCAATTATTCTTAAACGTGATAAATATCTTGTGAAGTTATTAGAATATTTGAATCACAATTTGTATCAATGATAAAGCTGAGATAAAAATGAAGTTCATTCACTTATTCGAGCTACTGATCATTTAAACAATTAATTATCGCTTACAATTATTCGCACAAAACAAAAATGTTAGATTGCTCACCCAATTATAATTTCTAATCAAACAATACTAGCTGGAGTACTAGTTGGAGTGCTAACACCAATTGGCTGAGTATTTTCAACTAGTACGGACCGCATGCTCGATGATGGAGCTTGAACATCCATTGCTGTTGTTCTCATTTCGCCAAAAGGCGCCCTAAAATATAAACAATTATATTAATCTTTTCGGAAATGCTTTTTTTCAAGTATACAGCATTTATAAATAAATATAAATCTACATTTATATTATTTTTAATTCATCGCACCATACGTATACATTGTTTCCCATCTATAACTTATCAAGAAGACACAATCATGTCATACATTAAGTTCACACTCTTACATACATAATTTATAATGTTAGTATACACTTGCTATCAAAAGCATAACATAGCAGTATAAGAGCCATCACATACAAAATAAAATAAGCTGCATAAGCATAACATAAAATCGTTGGACCAATGAGCATTCAATATTAAGACATCATATTGATTTATATTGATGCTCATTAGTCCAGCGATCTTATACTATGCTTATGCAGCTTATATCATTTTATATGTGATAGGCTATAGATTTCTATAAGAAGCCAATTTCTGCTCAAATTTACCCTCAAATTTGCTTGCGATATTCAGGGTAAATCAGTTAAAGTGTGACAAACGTATATTTCAGAAACAAAGCATTTTACAGAACAATGTTGATCTGTAAAATGTGATCTTGACAAATGTTATTCAGGTTATGATGCTGAACAACATTCAAGAGGTTTGCATCAATTGGACATCTTGTAATGCAAATGTTTGGCGGTATTGTAACTCTTTCAAGCCTTGTAACTCGAAAAGTACTTGATGAAAAAATATTTTGTTATAGTGTTTTGAAAAGCTTTCAAGGTAAGCTATAATAATATGCAATAAAAATGGGAGTTCCATTTGAAATCAACTTCCATTTGAAAGTCCTTCAAATCCATACAATTCAAGATCTAAA